GAGATTTGGGTCATTCTTGTGCTTTTCACGATGACGGCATTGACGACGCAAAGGGGGGCCACCTACGAGACACCGAAAAATCAGACAATGCTGGTATAGCCTTTGTGCGATTATCGCCCATCCTCGTTGGTGAGCTCCAGTAACGGCCCTAGACATCCCGCAATGCAGCATGCAACAAGCAAGCTCATTTACTCTTCGTCGGAAGAAACAGAAAGAAACATGGCGAAGCGCGCGCTTTTGCTGGTTCTTTGAGAAGGGATGCTTCGGCACGGCAATGTAGGACATGTCACCGCTCCCTGGCAGCCTCCAGCTCGACGGGATCCTCGACGGGAGGAGCCTTCGAAGGCAACACCGAAGAAAGAAACTCAGACATGATCTCACAAAAAATGCAGTGGGCTTTGGGATTCGGCTCGCTCTTGTGCATCGATTCGGTTCCGTTTTGCAGAACTGAGCTTGCGGACTGGATGAGTGAAGGGTAGAAAGCTTCTGAATTCTTGGATCCGGAGTACCCAATGGCTTGAGTGACAGATTCTCGCATCAAGGAATGAACACGAAAAGTGCCGGCGGCAAAAACCCACCTCCGTGGGGGCACTTGGGCTTTCATCCTCTGTCACCTGGGGTGTGTCATTGAAGGAGTTGTCGACCTGCTCAATTTACAGTTGCGAAGGCCCAGCAGTGCATGCTCCGATGCTTCAACAACCGACACTCCACACTCGCCCACCCCAGGATCGCACGTGGATGCTATGCCTATCTGTGTAAGACATGTTCAGACGTCATCTGAACATGTCCTAAACAGGTAGGTAAAGATTCACAGAGCCGTAAGGGTAGCGGTATAGATATACGCCCATTTATCTGAATCTATCTGTATATCTATTATCTATCTATATATGGTCACGCGCTCCGCAGCCCCCCCCCCCTCCCCCCCCAAAGGTCAATGGTCCGGATACAGGGTGGGGCCCCCCCCTCCCCTGTGGTGTGGGGTGTGGGGTTCCTCTTCCCCCTGTGGGGTGGTTGTGGGGTTTTGGGGTTTAGGGTTTAGCTTAAGCTTGTGAGTTTTGGGTTTACGGCTACAAGGTATAAGGCGTCGAGTCGACAAGGGCTAAGGGAGGATTTGCGGAGTATGCTCTGCTTTAGGCTTAGAGCCTGCAGTTAGGTGGGGTCTAGGGTTGGGTGTAACGTTTTAAGTACAAGTTAAGGTTGCTCAAAACAGGGGCACGCGCTGCGTCATAGGGTTTACGGCTTGCTTGCGAAGGGCTTGCGCGTGAGCCCTGGCCGCCAGCACCGCCCCACCATCCAGTGGCAGCTCCAACGGCCCCAACCCCTTTCCGCACACGCCAGGCCCCCCCCCCACCCCTGTCAGACCATACCATTGGGGGGGGGGGGGGCTGGGAACGCCAGACGCCTGACCATATATCTGTCTGACTGAGAGTGAGAGAGACTCAGGGAGAGAGACACAGACAGACAGACAGACAGACAGAGAGGGAGGGAGGGACGGAGGGAGGGAGGAAGAGGGAGGAAGAGGGAGGAAAAGGGAGGAAGAAGGAAGGAGGGAAGGAGTTGGTTTCAAGACAGTCCGACAAGTCCGCCTTGGAGGCAGGCTTGGGCATCAACTCGACAGCTTCCTCCTAGGTGAGAGAATGCGGGATACGGAGTGATCGAATCAAAAGCTGGGCTTGTCGGTTCCTGAATCTAGAAGTTAAGAATGACGAGCGTCGAAACCCGACGAAGCCCAGAGACATCGAAACTGCCAGTACTGCCTAAAAGACAACTGATGACCGCACTAGCCGAAGGTCCCCCAACTCTTGCTGACAAGCCATGCCGTCCACTCCTCAAATGCTTCGTCCACAGCATCGAGCACACGACTCGCAGCATCCTTGCACAGGCTGCAAGTGAGGGCCGGGCGGCTGGGCCGGGTGACAAATGATCTGAACTCGGGCCGAAACTCTGCTCTCAAATTCCGCTGGCCTCGGGCAGCCCCTCAGCCGCTAGGGCTGTCCGGAGTGTCGACAGCACCTGTCGACTCAGGCCCCCTCCATGCCGTAGACCGGAATCTGCTTTAAGGGTAGCGTGTAGCCTTCATGATATGGCAGCAATGATAAATCATGACAACCTCAGGAAATACATAATAGCTCAGGTTGGAAGCCAGGATTGGTTGACATGCAACAGCGAATAGATGACGTGATGCCAGTCGCACGGTCGCGTTCACCAATAACCGCATCCGGTCAATAACGGAAGTTTAAGACGGCCCAGCCATGGTCAGCAAGCAAAACAAGCAATCGATGATCAGACGAGCCAATCTGTCCATGCCTTCGCCCTTGGAACAGAAGAGGCTGGAGCCTTGCGAGATGCTTTGGAGTCGGCTTCTAAAAGTATAACAGAATGAATGTTGCTGCCTTGCGTGTCGAAGCTGTCCGAACCATCGCCGTTCTTCTGAGAGCAGTGCAGGCGGCTGAATCGTGTAGGTTTGCAGCGGGAGCATGCCCCCATTCTGCCTCACCAGGCTTCGACTCTTACAAAAACATCAAGCCCAATCATCATTAGTGGTCGAGGCGCAAGGCTTCAAGCCAAGCATCGGAAATCGTCCAGTAGCCGCTAGAATCACGGAACACGCTGGCGACTTTCAACACAAAAGCTCCAGGCAACCTGAATTTGCACACCACATTCAATCTGCAACCCACACAGAAACACCTCCCAAGGTTTGTTGTGGGCTCTTGCGATGGCAATGACTGACAGGCCTTCTGGGACGTCGTCCTGGCACAATGCATGGCAAAGAAAAGTGCGCCTTGAACATTGCACTTCGACTTGAAACTGTTGTGGCTCGGGCTGGGGAATTTCATGGGCTGGCGGGTATTACGAAGCCTTCAACGGCTGGCAGATATTGGGAGGCTTCGTGGCATCATCCTTGATGAGTAGTTTAGTTGGGTATGGTTGTGATGACCCTGTTGAATCCTGTCAAGCTCGGCGCTGCAGGCATGAAACAGCTCAACAGCAGCAAGCCACGGACGATACATGCATACGTAATCATAGGTACTGATGATGCGAATCCTGCCTTTTCGAGGACATGGTACACCCGGCACCACTGGTGCAAAGTACACCTGCGCAGCAAGACGTCAACAGTGGGTGAGGGATCTGAAATGTCAGCGATGTCGTGCAAGACATGATTGGTAGAAATGCGTTGCTGCATTCCGTACAGCATGTCAAATCCCAGCATGATATTGGCTTCCCAGTTTCCATCCAGCAAGCTGCAGTCGAATCGGCACTTGCGGTCTGAGCGTTGCGCTTTCCTGGAAGTGCAGGTCCCAAGCATCGAAATGTCCCGAAATCCGAACCCAAACGTATACCTGGGTAGTGCAAAGCCCTGCACAAACTTCACATGTGCAATCACGCCAGTGCCTTGTCAGCCTTTTCGGCAGAAGGACCTTGGGAATCAAGGACTTAGGACGAGTTACTACTAATATAGTATGATGCAGTATAGTTATAGTATAATCTTGTAGTACATATACTGATTGCCTACGAGTACCAGGGACTCTGGCGGCTCTAGACTGGAATGCCCCGAACCCTGAAACCCAAATCCTAATCGATGAAGACTGCAACCGTCGAGAGGCGTATCTTTTCGAAGGACGTTCGCCAGCAGAAGCCCTTCAGGCTGGCATCCAACCTGATGCTCCCGAGCGCAGCGAACTTGGTTGCTTACCTGTTGGTTTGCGTAGAGGGGGATGAGCGAGTCGGCATGAACAACGGCATGAGCAGGTATACATACAGGTACGCGAGATGGAACGCAACAGAGAAACTCTTCTCAAGCTGGAAGGGCTTCAGCAATCGTTCGAACCAAGGCTTCGAATCACAACCCAGCATCGCCAATTTTCTCTCACATGTTTCCCTTCCTTCTTCTATAGAACCAGAGCGAACAGCTGGAAGGCAGTGAATCCAAGAGTTAAAAAGCATTAACTCTTGAGTTTATTGCCCGGCATCGGGCCGCCTTGGACCCCTTCAGGCCCGCACAATTTACTTATGATTTAATTGGCCCTGAACGTTGCGCGACGCTCCATTCCACGCCTGTCCTGCTCCTACACGGCACAGTTAAATCATGATTTAATTCTTTCTGCTACACTATCCGGACCCGAGGCGACATATAAATCATGATTTAATTGTTCCGAAGCAATGACCAAATCTGAAACAATAAAATCAACTCGAACAGTTGGCAAGAACGCAACAATTAGATCATCATGTAATTGCCTCGCAGGATCCTTGTTTCAGGCTCAAGGTTTAAGGTGAGATGCACGATCCGATGCTTGTTTGTCTACTGCATTGTGTGCAGGTGTGTCTACGGGACGCGTCCCTACTCGACTAGACGAGACTAGAGTAGACCAGAGTAGACGAGAGTAGGCTACACTATAGACTAGAACCGAGTAGACTAAACTAAACCAGTCTACTTATTTGGGCTAGCTTTCCCTGGACCGTGATAGGATTCAACTACATTACTGGTGGTTACCAAGAAGGACGCCAAATTCCACAATTGAAGCATGACTTAATGTGGTATCCCGCTAGTGTGGCGATCTACTTATCTAGGCTAAAACTCCTTGGACCGTGGTTGCAACCCCAACTACATTACTGGTGGTTACCAAGGAGGACGAATTCGGCAACTAGATCATGATTTAATGTGGATTCCGGTAGTGTGGCGATCGACTTATTTGGGCTATAAGCCTTTGGACCGTGATAGTAACCCCCAACTACATTACTGGTGGTTGCCCAGAAGGACGCCAAATTCTGCAATTAAATCATGATTTAATGTGACATCCCGCGAGCGTATGGCACACAAGTCTCTGGTAGAATATACTGGCACACAGGGAGACAGTAAACTCATGATTTAATTGTTTATTAGAGACATGCATACCGACACAATTACAGCCCGATTTAATTGTGTCTTTGGAAGGTCCAAGGTATGTCAAAACCGAACAATTAAATCAAGGTTTAATTTTACTTAACTTCTGGATTCATTGGTTTTCGCGAACAGCTAGTAGTTGCTTCGGAGTTTCCAGTTGCCAGTTCAATGCCTGCTTTGTTGATGCAGCACCAAGTGGCAGGTACGGATGTCGCGGAGCCCGACCCTTCGGCGGGTGAGGCGGCGGCTGCGGCGATGGCGCCGAGTCCTGTTTCGACAAGTACAGGGCCGGGGCATGCTACGAGTTGGCATAGTCTACTTGTGGCATCAGTTAACTACCCCGAAACCCCAATCGGTCTGCTTAGGCATGAGAAAGCTGCCACAATCTTGGCGGGCATGGCTTTGCAGAGGGTACCCCGTTCCGAGGTTCGGTAACCCGGCCAAACAGCCGCCTTTCCCGTGCTTTGCTGAAAAGCTGCAAGTTTCAAGTTTGATCTTATCTATCAGCCTACGGGTCTGCCGGGTATGCAAGACTGGTGCGGTCCGTGGACCTGGAGACGCTCGCGAACAGGACACATCTCCGATCCAAACGAACCCAATATCAAAATACTTACAGGCGGGCCCAGAATCAGACACAAAAAAACTGCGACCAGGCTAGGAGCCGGGCCTCGCCGTTGCGCAGATCAGTTGCGGCTGGGCGAAACCTGACGGCAGAACAAATCGAGGGAACAGAAACCCAGAAACTAGACAAGCGGGGTGGCCAGTCAGCAATGAAGTGTCCCACTTACATCCCAAAACCTGTCGAAACTGGGATGTAGCTACACCTGCGACTGGAGTGGACTCTGAAATCTCAGGCTGAACGCTAGCAGCGCCAGCGCTCAAGATCGAAGTAAGTGTCCTGAATCCAATGCTCTGGAGCTCTTCGTCCCGTACCCTTGCCTATTGGGTTCATGTGCCCTTCACAAACTACGATACGCCCTTCCTGCTGTTGCTCTATATTATCAAGCCATCAAGTGCTACTACGATGGTTTACAACCCCAAGTCTGCTGCTATGCGGGACCCTCCAAGCATGCCGAGTATGCCTTCCCCAACTCACCATAAATCTGCATAACCCCCCGAACCTCCAGTCCTAAAGTCCTAAAGCCAACACCACCTAGACCCTAAAACCGCAAGCTCAACCCCCAAATCCAACCTTGTGGGCCGTGCACTTCGCTGCCGCTCCGATGAGTCCTTTCGAAACAATAACAATCGTGCGCGGCTTCTCGTCTGCTTCAGTCTGCTTCGCGTCTGCTCCTTCACCAAACCGTTGAAGTGTTCTTAGTGCAGCTTCCAGCTTTTTTCTTTTGGCTCTACTTTCTCGAATGTCAAAGGCAGGTTAGTCACACACAGTCTTTGGTTGCGGCAGTTGTCGATGCACATGTTGTTGCTTTGCTTTGGTTTGGTTCTCTCCTCTCCGGCATGTTGCCCAAACCTTGTTCGATTTAAACTTCGAAACTTGTCTGCTTGATTCGAGTCCCGTGCGTGCCGAGAAGAGCTGCGGCCTCGAAACGATTGCTGCGATTCAAAAACCTGCTGCGGGCAAGCTGGAACCTTATTAGCAGGATTCGCCCCGAACCAAACCTGCTCACCGACATATTATGCCTTATTACTGATGCCTTGCGCAATGCACATAGTCCTGTTTCCGTCCGTATTTTGTGCTGGTCACATCAACAGTATCGGTTTCGATGATGGCTCGTCAGTGTCGTGTTGATACGGTTACGGCCGTCACACTACCATCGCCGCTTGTATCGTATGTATCAACACATATACCCACATGGCACAAAATACTGATGAAGATAGCGAAGCGGTGTGAGCACCATCACAAGCATTGGTATGATGATCATCGAAATCAGTACTCCAAGACATCCTCTGCATGGACATGCAAACCAGACATCAGTTATTTAATTTGACGTAGGCAGCCTGAAGCAGCACATCGCGCCTCCGCAAAGCCCGAAGAAACCGTGGGGAGGGGTGGCACTGAGCTGGGCTTGGTGGCCTTCTGCCTGACATGGATGGAGTCTCAAGCTGCGACGCTCGAGATTCACAGGTCAAGATCTTGGGCTGTAAAAACCCTACAAACGAAAAGTTACACCTCAAAAAAACACTCGTGCAGTCACTGCAAGCCGGATTACAAGGAACTCGTCTCAAGGCTGAACTCCGGGGCCCGCCCCGGACAACCCGATTTGGGAAGTGGAAGGCTGCAAATGTTGGGCTCAACTCGAGCAAAGGGGTCGGGACATTTGCACACAGGTCTCTCCACTGCGTGCCTTGGCTCGGGACTAGTCATGGCAGCCTCTCCGCAAGCGAGGGACAGAGAGAGAGAGAGAGAGACAGAGAGAGAGACAGAGACAGAGAGAGAGACACACAGACACACACACACACACAAAGCCACCTACTGAAACAGCATACACCGTGACGGTGGCCCACGGGCTGTTCCACAAGAGGCTGTGGCACATGGTTGCACAAGCACAGTGCTTTATGGGGCGACCGGACCCACGACCGTACTTTCAACGAAACATCAGCCAGCCTTGTCGATCGGAGGCAGGAGAAAGTCTCCGGGACCGTGTCCACGACCCATCCTGCGCGATTTTTGCAAAAAATCACTCATGTAGCACATCCGGGCGACCAAGACGTTGCTTTTGTTCCTGAGTGTGGCCGATTTGCCCCATGGGAGGCCTGAATCAGATCCGAAGTGATTGGTGCTAGTCGCGAGTGCTTCTTTGGTTCCTACACGGCTTTGATAAACGCAGCGAGCGAAGCAACCCATTCTGTCGAACAGGGCCTCACCGATATACTGGGTGCCCCCCGCCATGTGTTCATGAACAGGCCCCTGTGACACCTGAAGGTTCTAACTCCAACCCCTCCTGATCATCTATATAAGTGATGGGGATTGGACATGGGCATGTCTTCGTGGAGTTGCTAAGGTCTTTCATGCGGCCTCTCGATGCCACGCTGATATCCGAGGTGACCGTGAAGGCTGGGGCCCACAAGGCACACAAGGAAAGCCACCGGACTGGGCATTAATGGAATGGCCACAAGGCTTATGTATGGAGTCACTATAGGACCCCCGCTCATGTATTCATGGAATGGCCACAAGGCTTATGTATGGAGTCACTATAGGACCCCTGCTCATGTATTCATGGAATGGCCATAAGGCTTATGTATGGAGTCACTATAGGACCCCCGCTCATGTCATGATTCATGGAATGGCCACAAGGCTTCTGTATGGAGTCACTATAGGACCCCTGCTCATGTATTCATGGAATGGCCACAAGGCTTATGTATGGAGTCACTATAGGACCCCCGCTCATGTATTCATGGAATTGCCACAAGGCTTATGTATGGAGTCACTATAGGACCCCTGCTCATGTATTCATGGAATGGCCACAAGGCTTACGTATGGAGTCACTATAGGACCCCCGCTCATGTCATGATTCATGGAATGGCCACAAGGTTTCTGTATGGAGTCACTATAGGACCCCCGCTCATGTACTCATGGAATGGCCACAAGGCTTATGTATGGAGACACTATAGGACCCCCGCTCATGTATTCATGGAATGGCCACTGTCTGGAGTCACTATAGGACCCCCGCTCATGTATTCATGGAATGGCCACAAGGCTTATGTATGGAGTCACTATAGGACCCCCGCTCATGTATTCATGGAATGGCCACAAGGCTTATGTATGGAGTCACGATAGGACCCCCGCTCATGTATTCATGGAATGGCCACAAGGCTTATGTATGGAGTCACAAAAAGAACCCCCGCTCATGTATTCATGGAATGGCCACAAGGCTTATGTATGGAGCACTATAGGACCCTCGCTCATGTATTCATGGAATGGCCACAAGGCTTATGCATGGAGTCACTATAGGACTCCCGCTCATGTATTCATGGAATGGCCACAAGGCTTATGTATGGAGCCACTATAGGACCCCCGCTCATGTATTCATGGAATGGCCACAAGGCCTATGTATGGAGTCACTATAGGACCCCCGCTCATGTATTCATGGAATGCCCACAAGGCTTATGTATGGAGTCACTATAGGACCCCCGCTCATGTATTCATGGAATGGCCACAAGGCTTATGTATGGAGTCACTATAGGACCCCCGCTCATGTATTCATGGAATGGCCACAAGGCTTATGTATGGAGTCACTATAGGACCCCCGCTCATGTATTCATGGAATGGCCACAAGGCTTATGTATGGAGTCACTATAGGACCCCCGCTCATGTATTCATGGAATGGCCACAAGGCTTATGTATGGAGTCACTATAGGACCCCCGCTCATGTATTCATGGAATGGCCACAAGGCTTATGTATGGAGTCACTATAGGACCCCCGCTCATGTATTCATGGAATGGCCACAAGGCTTATGTATGGAGTCACTATAGGACCCCCGCTCATGTATTCATGGAATGGCCACAAGGCTTATGTATGGAGTCACTATAGGACCCCCGCTCATGTATTCATGGGAACCCTGCTTCATGATTCATGGAATGGCACAAGCTTATGTATGGCCTCACTATAGGACCCCCGCTCAGGTAATTCATGGGGAATGGCCAACCGGCTTATGTATGGAGTCAATATAGGGACCCAAGATTAATGTATTCATGGAATGCCACAAGGCTTTATGTATGGAGTTCACTATTAGGACCACCGCTCATGTATCATGGGAATGCCCACAAGGCTTATGTATGGAGTCCACTATAGGACCCCCGCGAAGATTCCATGGAATGGCCACAAGGCTTATGTTGGAGGTCACTATAGGACCCCCGCCATGTATCCATGGATGGCAACCAAGGCTTAGGTATGGAGGAACTCTAGGTGGACCCCGCTCAGTATTCATGGAATGGCCACAAGGCTTATGTATGGAGTCACTCTAGGACCCCCGCTCATGTATTCATGGAATGGCCACAAGGCTTATGTATGGAGTCACTAGGACCCCCCCCTCATGTATTCATGGAATGGCCACAAGGCTTATGTATGGAGTCACTATAGGACCCCACCTGCTCATGTATTCATGGAATGGCCACAAGGCTTATGTATGGAGTCACTATAGGACCCCCGCTCATGTATTCATGGAATGGCCACAAGGCTTATGTATGGAGTCACTAGGACCCCCCGCTCATGTATTCATGGAATGGCCACAAGGCTTATGTATGGAGTCACTATAGGACCCCCGCTCATGTATTCATGGAATGGCCACAAGGCTTATGTATGGAATCACTATAGGACCCCCGCTCATGTATTCATGGAATGGCCACAAGGCTTATGTATGGAGTCACTAAGACCCCCCCTTAAGGTTAATGGAATGGCCACAAGGCTTATGTATGGAGTCACTATAGGACCCCCGCTCATGTATTATAGGACCCCCGCTCATGTATTCATGGAATGGCCACAAGGCTTATGTATGGAGTCACTATAGGACCCCCGCTCATGTATTCATGGAATGGCCACAAGGCTTATGTATGGAGTCACTATAGGACCCCCGCTCATGTATTCATGGAATGGCCACAAGGCTTATGTATGGAGTCATAATAGGACCCCCGCTCATGTATTCATGGAATGGCCACAAGGCTTATGTATGGAGTCACTATAGGACCCCCGCTCGTGTATTCATGGAATGGCCACAAGGCTTATGTATGGAGTCACTATAGGACCCCCGCTCATGTATTCATGGAATGGCCACGAGGCTTATGTATGGAGTCACGATAGGACCCCCGCTCATGTATTCATGGAATGGCCACAAGGCTTATGTATGGAGTCACTATAGGACCACCGCTCATGTATTCATGGAATGGCCACAAGGCCTATGTATGGAGTCACTATAGGACCCCCGCTCATGTATTCATGGGATGGCCACAAGGCTTATGTATGGAGTCACTAGGACCCCCCGCTCATGTATTCATGGAATGGCCACAAGGCTTATGTATGGAGTCACTATGGGACCCCCGCTCATGTATTCATGGAATGGCCACAAGGCTTATGTATGGAGTCACTATAGGACCCCCGCTCATGTATTCATGGAATGGCCACAAGGCTTATGTATGGAGTCACTATAGGACCCCCGCCCATGTATTCATGGAATGGCCACAAGGCTTATGTATGGAGTCACTCTAGGACCCCCGCTCATGTATTCATGGAATGGCCACAACGCTTATGTATGGAGTTCACTATAGGGACCCCCGCTCATGTTTATTGCATGGAATGGCCACAAAGGCTATGTTGGAGTCATATCGGACCCCCGCTCATGCATTCATGGGAATGGCCACAAGGCTAGGTATGGAGGGCACTATAGGACCCCGTGTCAGATTTCCTGGAATGGCCACAAGGCTATGTATGGAGTCAACTACAGGACCCCCGGTGTGTGTTTTATTCATGAATGGCCAAAAGGCTTATGTATGGAGTCACTATAGGAACCCCGCTCATTGTATTCATGGAATGGCCAAAAGGCTTATGCTATGGATTCACTATAGGAACCGGGCCCCGTCTTCTGTTATTCAGGGGAATGGCACCAAGGCTTATGTATGGAGTCATAGGACCCCCCGCTCATGTAATTCATGGAATGGCCACAAGGCTGATGTATGGAGTCACTAAAGACCCCCTGACTCATGTGATTTCTGGAATGGCCAACAAGGTTATTATGAGTCACTCGGATCATTTCCCCAACGCTATTGTAGTCTATCGTGATCGGCCACCAAGGCTTATGTATGGGAGTCCAACTCTAGACCCCCGCCTCATGTATGCATGGAATGGCCACAAGGCTGGATGTATGGGGTCACTGGACCCCACCCTCATGTATTCATGGGAATGGCAACAAGGCTTACACGACTATGTGAGTCACTATAGGACCCCACTGCGGCATGTATTCATTGGAGGCACAAGGATTAATGTATGGAGTCACTATAGGACCCCCGCTCATGTATTCATGGAATGGCCACAAGGCTTATGTATGGAGTCACTAGGACCCCCCGCTCATGTATTCATGGAATGGCCACAAGGCTTATGTATGGAGTCACTATAGGACCCCCGCTCATGTATTCATGGAATAGCCACAAGGCTTATGTATGGAGTCACTATAGGACCCCCGCCCATGTATTCACGGAATGGCCACAAGGCTTATGCATGGAGTCACTATAGGACCCGCTCATGTATTCATGGAATGGCCACAAGGCTTATGTATGGAGTCACTAAGACTCCCCCCCTCATGTATTCATGGAATGGCCACAAGGCTTATGTATGGAGTCACCATAGGACCCCCGCTCATGTATTCATGGAATGGCCACAAGGCTTATGTATGGAGTCACTAGGACCCCCGCTCGTGTATTCCTGGAATGGCCACAAGGCTTATGTATGGAGTCACTGGGACCCCCACCCTCATGTATTCATGGAATGGCCTCAAGGCTTACGTATGGAGTCACGAGGACCCCCCCCTCATGTATTCATGGAATGGCCACAAGGCTTATGTTTGGAGTCACTAAGGACCCCGTTCATATATTCATGGAATGGCCACAAGGTTTATGTATGGAGTCACTAAGACCCCCCCTCATGTATTCATGGAATGGCCACACGGC